CTCTACTCTACTCACCTGCGGCTGGTGCCACTCACTGCAAGGGCACGCAAGCTCGCATGCACACTTCAAGATTTCTCAAACCAACGGCAGCTTTCCTTCAGGGACACAACAGCCGGCCTGAGCATGGACACATCCAGAAATGTCAGCAATTGACTGCGCACGCTGGCTGGCAGCCTTGGCGAATGGTCCTGGGGCCCATTCGAGAGCCGACTAAGCAGGCTGTAACGCCCGCGTAAGTCAATGAAAGGGGGGCTGGCTTGCGGGAGGCGGCCAGAGACGTACGCCTGGGCCCAAAAATCCGTCCAAAACGAACATACGCCTGCTGCCCATGCGCTCTGCTCCTGCACGTGGAGCCCGCCACGCGGCGCAGTCACTACAGCCTCGCCCGCATCTGCTGAGGGCCGCAGGATTTATTGCTTGCAACTCCACACATGCTTTGTTGCGTGTGCTGCATGTTCCCCAGCGTGAGACCACAGCGTCGAAACGCACAACAGCAGCCAAGGTGACATGGACAGTTGGCACACTGACAGCAGAGATTGGGACGCAATAGACAGCTGGTCGCCATCTGTGAGCCGTCATGTGGCAGCCTCAAGTTAATTGGCTGTACATGGGGAAGCGTGAGTGTCATAGCAGCAGCTGCGACGCAGCGCGATGTGCGGCTCATGGCACTGCGGCCCTTGGGTGTGGATCACGCAATCCCTGGCCATCGGTCCCAGGGTGCCGCAGCAGCGCGCTTGCTGCGGACGGCATTTCAATCAGCTTCTTAGAAAATTTGTGGGGCACACAGCAGAAGGGGCAGACAGGTGTAGGAGCACGAAGGGCCTCGTAAGAGTCACCTTCGTTGACAATGCAAGGTGTCGGGTGCCGAACGCCAGCAAAGCCCGCCATTCAATTCTGCTGCACCCGTCCCACGCCTCATTTCCTGGGGTTCGTTCTAGCCGCGTCTCGCACACGCTTGGGTAGCTTTCCCTCCCTTCCGAGACTGCCAGCGAGGCTCCGTCCAAGATGGTGCAGACCGACACTATCTTCAACAACTTCGCGGGTGTGCGCTCGCGCACATTCTTCGTCTCGCTGCTATGCGAGTTCCTGGTGAGTCGCGGGCGCGCATCAGAGGCCACGATGCGCCGTCCCGAGCGATCTGGGCGGGTGACCCATCCGGTCAGCCCGCGCCCCCATAAACGTATTTTGAAAATCGTATTCGATATTCGCACGACAGCCTGGTACCAGTGCAAATGGCCAACGGTCGAGAGATTCCTCACATTGGGACCGTGTACGCGTCCCTTTCAGGGCGTCCTTATCTTCTCGTTCCTCGGATCCACCGTCTCCGGACCGATGGGACCGTGGGTGAACGGGCTGGCCCTGGCGGTGTTGAGTGAGTGGCGGCACCCGTGAGACAGCGCGGGGTGCCCCTGACCGCATGTGGTCACCCAGCCGCGTGTTTGGGCTGCAGGTCGCTCGCACCACACGGCGGCAACCGCAAATTTGAACGTCATCCCCCAGATATGATGATGAAATTTGTGTTTGCACATGTCGGCATGCCTCTTCTGTGTGGTGCGCATCAACTCAATCCACGGCCAACGATGTTGCTGCTCAAATCCCACAGTTTACACTGCCGCAAACATCTCTGGTGGTCACCTTAACCCCGCTGTGACCGCCTCCACTGTGTTCTGCGGCTTCTACCCCATCCTTCGTAAGCAATTGATGTGTGCACACTGCGCCTGGTGTGTGCGAATGCATGCCGCGAGTTGCGACGTCCGGCTGCCGTCCTGCCAGCCCGCGCTGTTGTCAGACACTTTGGGTGGTGCACGCATGCGCGGCAGTGTCGTGCTACTGCTTTGCAGTCACGTAGGAAAAGTAGCCTGTAGATCATGCTAACGGACAGAACATGCTTGCAACACGATGCGACCCTGCCACACTTCCCCGCTGACTTGGCATCACTGCTCCCACCCTGTTGCAATGCTGCAGATGCGGTCCTCTACATCATCCTGCAGGCAAGTCCAGCCACTTATCTTCCAAGAATGCCCCCAGCCTATTGTTGCCTCTCAGCTGTCCTATACAGGGCAGCACCTGCGGCGCGCAGGGCCAGCGCGGGTTGGCAGGGTGTGGCTGCGTGCGCTGCTCGCCGCTGCTCACCGCTGTCCCTGACGTCGCACCCCATCTTTTTGGGCGCGACCCTGTCAGCCGTGTCAGTACGCCATCCAGCCACCCAGCGGTCTGCCCCCCAGCACCACCCCGACCTGCGCGCGCTGGCCTTGCCAACCCGCAGATCCTGGGCGGCATCTGCGGCTCCCTCCTCGTCGCCGGCCTCCTGCCTGGCGCCAGCGTCGGCATGGGCGACTCCGGGCCCGGCTGCTTTGAGCCCGCGAAGGGGCTGACCAAGAGCCAGCTGTTCGGCTGGGAGGTGGTCATGACGTTCACCCTCATCTCCGCCGTGTACGCCTGCGGTGAGCACACACGCAAGAACGCGCGCACATGTGCACACGACCACGCGGGGCGGGTGCAGAGGCTAAGGGAATGACCACGCCGAATCCCTTGTGCACAGGGCGCTCTCCATGGGTTGTTACATATCAGTCTGTTCAGAGCGCCCCCTGTGACATTTGCTGGCCCAGCAGTGAGCGAAACGCCAGCACGAATGCTGGCCAAGCACCCAAGGGCGTGTTCGCAGCGTCGCCACACCCACACACAAACAAGCTCGATCCATCGCAGACATCACGAATTGCAATTTTGGCCCAACAACAGCCTCCACGTCCCCAATTCTGTCCCACAGGTATCGCCAAGCCCGGGCACGGCAGCTTCACCCCGCTGGTGGTCGGCCTCACCCTCACCGCCTGCGCTGGCACCGGCGCCCAGTGGACCGGCGCCGCCCTCAACCCCGCGCGCGTGATCGGCCCCGCCGCCGTGTTCGGCTGCTCCAAGTCGACCTGGTGGATCTACGTCCTGGCCCAGATCATGGCGGCCGCGCTGGCCTGCACAGTGTTCGCCGTGGTGTCCGGCTTCGGCCCCCTCTTCCCCGTCAAGTCCATGGCCGAGTTCCACCTGACAAGGGCGCAGGCGCTGCACCTCCTCTACACGGGCCAGCCCCCAAAGAGCATCCGCGAGTCGAAGGCTGACGATATCAACGTGCGTGGGGTGGCGCGGCACGCGGCCGCGGATAGCGGCGAGCCACTGCAGACCCCTCGCTTGCTGAAGTTTTAGCTCTGTTTGCCGCAAGCCGCTGACTCCCTTTCCACATTCTCATACTTGCTGCCCAACCCCACCCCCGTCAACCCCGTCTGCCCCTCCGATCACCTCAGGACGTGATCGAGCGCATCCAGGCCGAGCACGGCCGCCTGATCACCCTCGCCCAGAAGAGCGCCAGCGGCAAGGTGCCCGACAGTGACGTCATCCAGGGCCGCGACGCGGTCTAGTCAGCAAAATCCCCCCGAACAGCGCGGCGTCTGAACATACGCCGAGCCCATCGGCCGCAGCGGCTGCTCGACTCTGCACCACACTACATAGCTGTGAGGCGCTCCCAAGCCGCGCTTGCGAAACCAAGCGCGGCCTTGGGGCGCTAGGCTGGGTAGAGCGATGCTGCAGGTAGGCTCGGAGTGACCGGCGCGCACGCCCCTGCGCTTCCAACAGGGCACAATATACGTAGCATGCGCCGCATTAAACAGGCGGTGGGACAGCGCATTTTGGCAGCCTAGAACCGCTTGTCCCTGGTTTTTGCGGACCGAGAGACAACTGCTCAGGGCGCAGCACCAGGCAGCTCGTTGCGCCCTCAAAACCACACTTCGATCGGAAACTCTATTTGTATGCGGCCGCTCGGCGGCACATGGTGCTCTGTCACCTTCGTCGCCTCACCACCGCGGGGGCTGCGGGCGTGATGACACAATGCATGTTGCGGCGAGGGCCAGCAGGGCCGCTGTCGGTGTAGAAGCACGGCGTCGTGCTGCCGCGAGCACCTTTCCCAGGTCGGTACGCTGGCGCATCTATAGTAGCGACTGGCCTTGGCGCCAGGGACCGCCGCATGTGTCCAGCCAAACAGGCGCGCTAGAACTCGCACTGCACCCGCACCCTTTGGCGGGCAGGCAGGTTAGGTCGCCGGCACAGCAGCAGACAGGGCTCTTGCGAGCTGGTGCGTCCTACATCACGCTGCGGCATACAATCAAGTGTGCATCCCTCATGAGCAGCGGGGGTCCCCGCCGTGCGTGCATGCGCGTGAGCCACTTCTTGCTGTCGCGGGTGTGCTATGCCCTGGCAGCTGGCGCGCCCATCCCAGGTGGTCAATGCTTGTGCGTGCGGAGCCATGCATCTCTTGCCCATTTTGCACAGCCAGGACCATTGCGTTGTGAAGTGGAAGCATACAGAAGTGCCGTGCGCAACTCGGCGCTGCCAGTTGCTGTCGCCCACACTGGACGTGCCTCCCCTCCTTTCCCTGGAACGTGTTTGCGGCAGCTCAGCCGGTGCACCCTCGTGGTAAAACTGCCTGCCTGGCTCAGCAACTCCAGTGACGTGGTCTTGACCGGCATCAGACGTCCTGCGGACCGACATTCCGGCAACCTTTTGTATGACAGTCATAACTTCGCCCACACACCAGATTTCTGTGGGTGCACATGACCGAAGTCAGTGCCAGGTTCTAGTGGCTCCAGCAGCTTTCCACGTGTGGTGGAGCAGCGAGGCTGCTGAGAGAAGCCGCCTTTGGACAGCAAAGCACTAGCTGAAGGCATGCACCTCCTTTACCCCTGAAACCCGCACTATCGCAACTTGCACACGGCGCGCTCTGGTTGCGTGGTGGGGTTGTGCAGACCCAGCAAGAGACGGGACGGACACTGCGGGCGCATTGCGAGCTCGCCCAGGTGCACTTGGATCACTGACTTCCTGAAAAGAAAGATTGTGCAATTTCCAAAACAACCTTACACAGTGCATTTGGCATGTGCGTCGAACTCTTGTCAAGATGAGATGGCATTTGGGTCAACGGGTGACGATTTTGACCAGCGCAATGTGCATCATGACTACATGAGCTTGTTGCCATCGCGGGTGCAATGTAAGAAGGATGTCAGACTTGTGGTGGGTGTCTAGCACGATTACAGGCTCCATTTTCCGCCGTCCAACCTGCGACCCCGTCAGATCACTCACAATTCTTCACAAAGCAGCCTTCAAATATGAAAACATAAGCTCTGTATTAGACTTGTGCATGAGATGGGAGGGACGGGATGCGCCCACGATGTGCTTCCCGCTTATGCCCTCCCGCACCTGGTGCTGGCCGCAGGTAGGGTCCTGATCATGCCACCATGCCATCACAGATAGTGTGCCGTGGCCTGAGGTGCTTCGCACTGCGCTGCCCAGCCGCTGCCTCGGACCTCCTGCCCCAGCCAGCTCCGACGCCAGCCAAGCACCTGACCCCCCGCCCTGACACCCTGGCCACCTTCGCCCGCTTGTGTGCGCGCAGCGGCCGCCGCGCTACTGCAACTGTGCGGCGTGGCGCGTCGGCTGGCGCCTTCAAGCCTGCTGCAGCTGTTGGTGTTCTCCCAGGCCGCCTGCTATGCGCTGGCTGCCTGTCCCGAGACCCCCGGTGCTTGGCGGTTGCTCCCTGGAGCATACATTGCTATAGGGTGCGCCTCCCCATTGGGAGCCCTGCATTCAGATGGGCACGCGACCCCGATCATTGCGGGGGCGGCGTCGCTGACGGCGGCAGCCCCTAGCTGCGTGCTTTCCCATCGTGTGGCGGGCAAGCCGCCAGCCAGCGTCACCCGATGCCTCGGGGGGCGCACACCCCGGCCCAGATTCCCCTGCCGCCACAACCGCACCCCCTGCGCACCCATCTCACTTTCGCCTCAACCCCGGCCGCCTCATCCCCGTTCTATTCGCGTCGGATTCGGCCCACCGCGCAGCGGCGCCCTGGGCGGGGCGCTGCTGCTGCTGGCGGCCGCCGCGGGCCTCAGTTGGTTCGCCGCGCTCCTCGGGAGCCCAAAAGCAGCGGACGCGTGCTTCAACGCCGCCCACGTGTTGGTGGCGTTTGGAGTCGGCGCTGCCGCGCATCTCGCATGGGATGTCTTCTTGGCTCAGCTGGGGGCGCTGCCAGGTGAGCTGCCCGGCGCATGCCGTGTTTCCGGCATGCACGCATGCATGTCGGGTCGCATGCACACTCAACAGCGCACATGCCTGCATGCGAGCGCGTGCATGCGTGCATGGGAGCGCTTGCATGTGTGTGTGCGCGTGCCCTGTGCGTGTGCGCACACAGGCATGTGCACACATTGTGGACGCGGAAGAGCGTGTTTGTTGCTGGCGGTAAAGCGTTGTGAGACCAAAGGAAGAGGCGCGGGTCGATGGTTGCACCCTTTCATGTTTTTTTTTCATATTGTGGGTGAGTTGCCACTCGTCAATGCGCGCGCGCGTGTGTGTGTGTGTGTGTGTGTGTGTGTGTGTGTGTGTGTGTGTGTGTGTGTGCGTGCGTGCGTGTGTGCGCGCGTGCGTGCACGTGCGTGCGTGCGTGCGTGGGTGCGTGCGTGCGCGCGCGTGTGTGCGCAAACAAGTGTGTGTACATGTGGGAAGGGGGGAGTGGCGGGGCGCGAGGGATGGGATGGATGTGAAGGCTGCCATTGCCGGCAAAGGCTCTGGCACAGGCTACTACGGGCACCACTGCCGCATGCTGCACCCTCCCCGCCGCCGCTGTTCCCCTGCAACCGGCTTGCGCCCCTGTAGCGGCATGCTGCCCCCTCCACTTGACGCGGCTCCCGCTGTGCCCATCACCCCGCAGCCCCGCTCTCGGGAGCGGCGTACGCATGGGACTGGGGCAGCGTCGTTGTTGGGCCGCTGCTGCTCTGGCTGCTGGCCGGGCTGCCGTGGCGCCACCTGCGGCTGAAGGTCTTGGCGGTGCTGCTGCTCGCCAGCGCCGTCCTCCTGACCCTGCTGAGGTGCGGCGGCCGCCCCCTTCCGGCAGCTGCTCTCCTGTTCGCCGAGCCCTTGTCCGCCTGTCGCAGCGGCGCGTGCCGGCCTGGTTTGGCCGGGTGCAGGCGGGACGCGTCCGTGTGCTCTACACTCTCTTACGCGCGTGCGCAAGCAGCGAGCGCTGCACCCAACTGGAGGCCGTCGCTCAGTCACTCCCCCCCCCTCCGCCTCTGCCTCTGCCTCCTCTTCCCGCACTGCAGGCGTGGCAGCAACTCGGCGAGCGTGTATGTGTTCAACAGCTTCGTCCTGGTGCCCCTCCAGCTCCTGCTGCTGCAGGGGCTGGGGCACTTGGAAAGGCACGACCCCATGCGCCCCCCTCGGCCGCCCCACAACCCGCTCGCGCCCGCCGCGCGGCTCGTGGCGCGCCTGAGCGTGTGGCACGCGGAGAGGGCCTCGGCGGCTGCACAGCGACGGGCAGAGGCGGGGAAGGGGTCGGCCGCGGCGGCGGCGGCGGGCGCGGGGCCGGGGCCTGTGGCGGAGGGGAGGCTTGGGCCGGAGCAGCTGCCGGCGGTGCAAGAGCATCCGAATGAGCAACAGGTGGAGCATCAGGAGCAGCCAGCGGCAGGGTTGCCCCAGCCGATGGATGCGCCTCTGCCTCAGCTTCAACGTGAGGATGGCGGCGAGCCCGTCGCTTGCGGTCAGGAAGCGGGCGGCACCCCTGGGGAGGAGCAGCAGCAGCCGCGGGGACAGGTGGAGCCACAACAACAGGAAGAGGAGGGCTCAACAGCAAGCCCGCAGGCAGCAGGCAGCGAGCCGCCGAGGTCCTCGGATGAACCATGTGCGGGTCCTTCCGCTGCCCCAGCGCCCGTGGCCGCGCCCGGTCCCGCGGCCGCGAAGCAGCCCGGCTCGACGGGGCCAGTGGCGGCAGCGGGAGGCGAGGGGCCGATGCCAGCGGCGCCGGGTCGCAAGGCCGGGGCGCGTGCGAAGAGGGAGAAGGTCAAGGATGCGCCAGCGGAGCTGCCGCCGCTCGCGTTGGAGGACGTGCTTACGGGTAGGCGCCTCTTGGGGTGTGTGGGTGCGGGTTTTGACCTGTGTTGGACCCAGAGGAGGCGCAGTGCTGTGCAGTGGCATGCAGACCGCTTGGTAGAACTTCCCAACCCGGGCCCCAGCAACCAAGGGGCACACGCATGCCAACCGGTTTACGCGTTGGCGGGGTCACGGAGCGGCGACGCGCCCGCCGCGGCGGCTCTGTCCCCGAAGGCCCTCCCCTGCTTCAGGGCCAGCCAGGCACAACCTGCGGGCGCTCCCCTGCTTGAGTTCGGGCCGTCCTTAGCACCAACAGCCCGCCCGTACGACCCCGCCGTCCTGGACTCGCTTGCCAATCTGACCGCAGTGTGTCGGCTTCCAGCCCTGGGGAAGCTCTTCATGATGCACCTGGGCCCCCTGGCGCCGCCCGGCCAGGAGGCGGCCATGTCGACCGGCGCGTTTAGGATGCCGTTTGAAGCGGGCGACGCGGACAGGTGGGCTCCAGGGGGCTGGCTGCGTGGGCGTTTGGTCTGGAGATCGGGGGTGCAGTTGGAGAGGTGCCAGCGCTCCAGCCGCGCCGCGTCTGGCCTGCGGCGCGGCCCGCTGCCGATTTTTCCAGGTAACTCTCCCGCCATGTGAGCCGCCCTCGGCAGCTGTACACGGGCACGTGCTGACCCATCTGGCCTCGCGCCGCCCCTTCGTCTTCCGCCCGCCCCCCTGCAGTGACTGGAGCCGTTCCTGGGGCTCCAGCGGCGCCGGCGCCGCGTCCGGCGCGCCCGCGGGCGAGCGCGCGGCCGCCTCGGCGCTGGCGGGCGCGTTCCCCGCCGCCTTCGACCCGGAAGCGGTCCTGGACCTCCCGGCCCCCCGCCCCGCCGCCGCGGCGCCCGCCGAGGCGCCGCCCGCGGACGCGGCGGTGGCCGCGACCCTCGCCGCCTTGGAAGGTGCCCTCAACCGCGCGCGCCCGCTCACCCAGTTCGCACAGCCCGGCGACCGCAGCCCGCGCGCGCACGGGATACACCCGCTGGTGGTGGGCACGCCCATGGTGGATGACGGCGCGGCGCGCGCGGCGATGGCGCTCATATATGCGTCTGCGACGCGCGGGGCCGCGCGCGGGCTGTGGCCGCCGCTGTCGAAGGGGCAGCCGTCCGGCGGGGACGGCGGGGGGCCGCTGATACTGTCGGCGCCCCAGGCTAGCGAGGCGGGCGTGGTCGAAGCGCTGTCGATGGCTCTGGGGGGCCACGACTACACAAACATCAACGTGGGCGCGCCGGCCGCCGCGCCAGCGGCGCCCGCGCAGGTGCTGCTGGCGCCGGCGGCGCTGGACGGCGGCGCCGGGGCCAGCGGTAGTGGCAGCGGCAGCGCGCTGCGGCCGGCGGCGGGGCGGGGGCCGACGGGGGCGATGTGGGCGAAGGTGCAGAGGGGGCTGCCGGCGCTGCCGGGGGCTCTGAAGGAGGATCTCCAGGTGATGGCGTGTCATCCGCATGTTGATGTGACGCGCTGCATGCGCTGACCAGCGCACCCCCGGGCGGGGTGACCGGGTGACACTCAGTCACTCAGGACCCCGTGTCGCAACAGGGAGGTTCAGGGCTGGGCTCGAGGTTGGAGTAGCAGCGACTGATTGCACCGCCTGGCTGCCCGCCCTCTTGCGCCCAGATATATTACGCCCACTGAACCTCGGAATGCTTGTTGGTTCTCAGACAGTTGCAGCTGCCGATTCGCCCAGCCTGTGCTCACAAATTGGCAACCCTGCGTCTGTTTGCACCCGCCCACAGGACCTGCTCCAGCAGCTGACTAACGGCCAGGTGGCGATCCACCTCTGCCCCCGCGCGGCGCTGACCGGCCAGACGCCCTGCGGCCACTACGTCCGCGCCTGGGCCGTCGCCGCGCCCGCGGGGCCGCCGCCGGCCGGGCCGGGCACGCTTGTCAGCGCGTCGGGCCACGTGCTGTCGACCGGGACAGCTCATGCGGCGCTCGCGGCCGGCGGCGGCGTGTTCTCGTCGATGTCGCGCCACGGCAGCGGCGGCGCGCTGAGCAGCGCGGCGCGCTCGCTCGCGCTGCCGCTGTCGGACGCAAGCGGCGCGCTCGCCAACGCCGGCGCCGCGGCGAGCGCGGCGGGGGGCGGCCTGCTGTCGAGCGGGCGGCTGCCGCTGCAGCACGCGGGCGCCGCGGCGGCGATGCTGGAGCGCTCGGGGCGGGGGTTCGGCCGCCGGAACCTCGCCGCGTCGGTCGCGCTGCGGCGCTCGATGTCGGTCGCCTCGGGCGACCCCTTCCTGCGCGTGCGCGGTGCGGCCACCGAGCTGGGCCGCACCTCGTCGGCCAACATTTCGGGCGCGATCGCCATGTCCAACCTGTTTTCGGGGCGCGCGGGGGACCCCTCAGAGGCGACGGCGTATGACGCGACTGCGCTCGCCGCCGCGGGGCCCGGCGGCAGCGGCGCCGGCGGCGCGGGCACGGGCCTGCGCTCGGCGTCGTCGGCGGACGCGGGGGCGCTCGCGGCCGCCGCGGCGGCGGCGGCCGCCGGCGACGGCGGCTGGCCGCAGGCCCGACACCACCGCCAGCACCAGCACCAGCACGCGCCGCCGCCGCGCGGCGGCGGGGCGGGACCCGAGGGCGCGATTGCGAACAGCGCGTACATCGACGGCACGATGGCGCCCGGCGGCGCGTTCGGCGCGGACGGGCGCCTGCTCGACGCCGGCGGCAGCGCGGCGCGCCCTGCGGCGGCGCACGGCTTTGACCGGGTGGTGTCGGGGGCAGCGCTGACGTTCCAGGATGTTTTAGAGGCGGGGGCGGAGGCGGCGCGGGCGGCGTACGCTGTTTATGTGGACGAGACGTGCCCGTCTGTGGTGGAGGTGTGTGTGTGTGTGTGTGTGTGTGCGTGTGTGCGTGTGCGCGTGTGTGTATAGCGTGCAACTGGCCCCGCGCGCCCCTCCCCTGCTAACAACCACTTGACTCAACCCGTTGGACACATTCTCCAGTGCCTCTGCGATAGCAAGCAAACCCATTCCACCCGCCTCTGCGCCTGACCCTGACACCTGCACATCTGCCCTCCCGGCCTCACAAGCATACCCGGAGATCCTGGTCCCCAGCTCAATGCCCCTCCATCGCACCCGCTCTCCCCTTCTCGCCCACCCGTGCTGAATCATAGTAGTAACCCACCCCCAACAATGGGCCCTCGCCTCAACCCCACCCCCCCCAACCCCTCAGGCCCTGGTGCACAGCTGGCTGTCCCTGAGGGGCCGCTCCCTGGCTGACTGCCGGCTCGCCGAGGCCTGGACTACCGCGATGCGGACCGGCCTGCAGGACGAGATGAGATCCGCCGCCGACCCTTCGGCTTCCGTAGGGCCTGACGGCACCAGCGGCGGCGACGCGGCTGCGGCGTCGCAGCAGCAGCAGCAGCAGCAGCAGCAGCAGCAGCAGCAGCAGCAGCAGCAGCAGCAGCAGCAGCGTCTGCTCGTCTCCCAGTGCCAGGCCGCCGACATGGCGGCGCTGACGCCCTCAGAGCTCCTCGAATGCGTCGCCTGGGCCGCAGCCTGCCCGCGCGGCGAACTCTCGCGCAGAGCGCTTGCCGCGGCACAGGCCCTCGCCGCCTCGCCCTCCTCGCCGCCCGGGACCCCTGCCAGCCCTCACTTCACGCCCTTCATGCGCGGCGCGTTCGCGGCGACCGCGGCTGGCGTGGCCGGCGGCGGGGCCATTCCGGGCGGCGACACGGTGGCGGCGGCGCAGCTGCTGCACCTGCTGCGCGCGCTGCGCGCGACCGCGCTGGCTGGCGCCGTCGACGGCGCGTGGCTGCAGGAGACGTACGGGCCCTGGAGGGCGGCGCTGTTCGGCGTCATGCGGGCTGCGCAGGCGGCGCGGCTGGAAGCTGAAAAGGCCGAGGCGGAAGCTGCCGCGGGTGGCGGGGCCGGCGCCGGTGAGGGCGAGGGCTTGGGGACAGACCAGCAGGAGCCCAGCCCGCAGCAGCAGCAGGAGCAGCAAGATCAGAAGGACGCAGAGGAGGCGGAGGAGGGTAAGGACGGGATTGGAAGTCCGGCAGGCAAGATCGAGGCGGGATCCACTGTGGAGGAGGCTCCAGGAGCGCAGGAGGAGGAGGGGGCTGGCGTCGATGCGGCACCCGCTGTGGCCAGCCTGGCATGCGTAGAGGCGCTGCTGTCGGCGGCGGCTGAGTGGTGCATCGCACGGCGGCGCGTGACCAGCGGGACGATGTCCATCCTGCGCCAGGTGGGGTTGCACTTTGTTTGAATCTGCACGTGCACTTTCAGTTCTGTGGTGGCCGTTCAAGAGGTTTGGTCGGCTTGCGGCTGGCGTCAGATGGCTGCCAGCTGTGGGGGATGGCGGGCGTAAGCGGAGCCGCGTTCAAGAACCCTTCTGGGCTCAAGTGCCTGCTGCGGAACCCCGCGGACTCCACCCCACCCCACCGCGCCCCACCCTCCTCCACCCCACCCCACCCCCCTCCCC